GCTTAGAGTTTGGCTGGATCCGGGCCCGTTTGAACAAAGAAGCAGGATTAGCAGGCGTGCAAATAGGGAGCAAAGCCAGAGGGTTCCGATAGTGCTGAACACAACTTTGTTACTGTGACAGAATGCATAAAAGTGAATGAAAAGGCTGTATGATTGCTGTTGCCATCCTGTTAATTAGGCTGAACTCATGCTTCATTAGTGCTACAATATGCTTCCATCTTAACAAAGCCCTGTTGGGTGTACGGAGCCGCTTTACTATTAGTAAAATGAAACCTTATCAGAAAGCCCTGCAATTCATTTCATAAGACAAGTCATGACATATATTGTGTTGAAATTGCACCGAAGAGACAGATTACTTGCTTAACACTTGCTATTCCTAATGAACAGGAAAAGATGTTTTCAAAACTGAGTTATTTATTGCGTTGGGAGCTCTTCTGACCTCATGCCTAATTACATTGCATAGTCCTTTATCAGTGGTTCAAGTAGTTCCTAAATAACACAAATTGAACTGAGCTGCTTTTGCTCTTTCACATTCTCTCAGTGGCACTGTGGAAATACCATCAAGCGCTAAAATACTTGTTTCTTGCTGTCACTGTGGGAAAGAGAGCCTTGTGTATAACCAGTACACTATCCCTGCAGCAGGAATGCAGCAAAAGCACTAGCACAACCCACATTCCCACGTTCCCTGCTTGCAGCAATATAAAGCAGTACCAATCAGGCAGCACATTGAAAACTTGACACACAGACAAGAAATGATGTGTACTGCTTGCTCACTGCCCCCAAGAAAACACTGTGCTCCCCTGACACTGCCCTATTGCTGATAAAGTGTGTTATTTGTAGTAGTGCAACGGTAGATGCTGACCTGGCAGTGATTTTTCTATGGACTCACTATGCTGGGAAGGGAGTTTGAATGACATCAGGGCACAGCTCCACATTGGCTTCAACTGGAGAGCTGACTTCAGTCAGTCTGGCCCTACCAGATATCCCCACTTTCTTAGTGATGTTGGTCGGTTTCTGTGGCTGCCTTCGAAACCAGATTTCTGCAGATTAGAATACACCAGGACTAACACACACACAACTATCCCAAAGAGTTTTGACTGACTTTGGTTGTTTGACCCATCCATCTAGCATAGCATGCAGCAGCTCTGCAGTGTCGTTGGCACTACGGGAGTAATCGGTTGTGTGTTGTGAGAAAGACCAAATGGGTGAGAAAGTGGATATAGGGAGGAGTGACTTTAGCGGATCTACTACTGGGGGTAAAAATAAGTTAGTTGTGTTCACAAAGGTATGAATGTGAGGCTGAAGAATTTCTCAGCCTCTGTAACTAATTGCCAGTGGCTGTTGGGGATGTGGGGGCAGGTTGTGTTTTGTGCTCCAGTGGTTGTCTTACACAATGACTCTCTTCTACAGGCTGAAGTCAAATGGCAAATGTTGGCTTTGTTTCAGTACAGCAGGGTGAATACCACGGTGTTCCCTCACCTTCCCTGGAAGGTCCTGGTTTGATGGATCCCTTCTGGGGCCCCCAGTGGCAGCACTGTGCTCTACCACAGCTGAAAGCAGATGTGTCCAGCACAGTAGATCATGTGTGGTGGTTAGATTCAAGTCCATCCTAGCTCTCAGCTCTTCCTACCTGAATGATCTGGATTTGCTATTACTGGTGGTAAGCTCAGGGGAGGGATAAAAGTAGCCAGATCTGTTTGTTTTCATGTATCTTCCTTGTACCATTCTTTAGCCTTACAGTAAACATCCATGCTTACTCATGTCCTCCTACGGTACACCTAAAAATATCTCCCTTCCTCCATTTGCAATACTATAATTTGAAGACCTGAAATGACCCTATGTGAGTGGGTCTTAAGAACACAGTTTAATGGAGAAAAAAATGTGAATAGGTAATGTAGTAAAAACAACTGTCTGAAAGAGCGTCTCTGAACTGCTCACCAATTCTGTTTGCTCTTCTAACTCAGGCTATTTATCCAGCTCCAGGGCTAAAGGGCAATTATTGGTGTAACCCTGTGAAATCTGCTATTTTATCCCAGGCTGGCTGCACTCTCAAGTGGATGATGGGTACAGTGTCAAGCTCATGTGCCAGCTGCTGTGTGATTGCACATCCCCGATGAAATCAGCGCCAGCCCTGTGCACCCAGGGGAGCTGCACTTGTTTGCACCAGTTCAGATTTGCACCAGTGCTCCAAAGCGAGCTGTATTCAACTGTGATATGAAATTTCTAACAATGACAGAACCAGAGGTAGTTTTGCAGAAGGATTATTAAATAGAAATATCTTATTCTTATAGGCATGGAAAATGCTGCACTACAGTAAATTTGGAAAGATCATGTAAGATTTCATTCTGAGATGAAATAATGCCTTTCTTGATGCCTTAGGGCCAGCATCACCATAAGCCACAGTTGTCGATTTTCATCAGGTTACTTTTTATCCACATCAGATCTCTTGCTCTGCTTTGCCATGCAACTGTAGAAATGCTTGAGCTGAAACAAAGTGATGGGACAGGACAAAGCAGTGCAGGACAGGAATGGCTTTTTTGGTGGCAGAACCAGATTACATCAATTCAAAGTGGTCACAGAACTCTCATACAAGACAGCCAATGCTCATGTTCCCCACTGCTTGTGGTCAAGGACATACCTACAACTGTTTGGTTACTTAACCAAGTGGTTTCCTAAGCTCATTTTTGTATAGGCTACTTTTATAGCCAAAAGTGAATAAAGAAAACTAGTGTCTCAAACAGCAAGAAATTATAACTGCTGACTCACATTTGTGTTTTTTAGCATATACAGGCTATAAGAGTATCTAATTGTTTGTTGTTCTGGCTGGGTTTCTAAATGTGAATATGAAATAAATGACCCATTACCACTGCGTTCCCACAGAACATCTTGAACAACAATACGAGTTACAACCCATTTGCCAATGTCTAATTCAGTTACCCTGTGGGTTTTTTTCAGATTGCCTTCCTGGGGTGAAATTTATTATTTAATTATATTTCATTTAGTGTAAATACAGATGTTTAATAAGTGGATGGTCAAAATTTAACATGTTGAAAATCATAGGAAAATCATCCCACCTTCCTGTTCTTGTGAACTGAGTTTGCAGGGATGGTGGGTATCACGTGGCACTGGATTTATTTTCCTTCACCTATCATATGCCTTAGCTCACCACAGTGTTTTGCATCTGGGTCAGCTGTATTTTTATCAAGCATTAACATGCACAAGGGTTTGCCAGTACTTAATAAAAATGCTGCTGAAAACTGCATTCTTCCAACTCTTTATTGAAGCAGATTATATTGTGTTTGAACTGTGTTTGAACTGAAGGTACACTCATGTGAAAACTCTTATATTCATAACCCACACCCAAGCAATAACAAAGAACTCAGTTAATGAAAATCACTCAAAGGAAATCACTGCCCACCCCTTCCAAGATCAATTAAGAAGATTATTCCAGCATACCTAATGCTGCCACCCTGCTGTTGTATTGGAAAGCACTGTTTCCCTTTAGAAGGCTAAGGTAGGGAGTCTGACAATACTGTGTAATAAACAGTGCTGTGAAAAAAGCATTTATGATGCTATTACCACCATCTATCCCTGCAGCAAAGGACAACACTTGGACAGTGTAGATATATAAGGTCTCCCAGTGAGGCTCACATTCAAATGAATGAACCTTTTCAGACAAAGGATGGCAAAACTCTTTCCCAGGGGGTTTCTGTATCTGGAGGACACTCAGCATGGCTTCCTAATGCTCAGTACATCAAGGATCAGCTGGAAGAAGACTGTTCCTCCAGACAGAGAAGAGAACATCCTTTCTGGCAGTACACCAGCAAATAACACCATGACAGATGGAGTAGCTGCCAGAGAAGAAATACATGTGTAGAGCAGGGAATCCAACATTTTGCTGCGTGGCTATAAGCATGACAGTGTGTGCAAACCCTCAGCTGCTGGGAAATGATGCTCCACTGGCTTCAGAGACACCCAGCAAACTATACTAGCTGAGAGTCTGGCTTTGTTGTGGATATTACAGTTTCTAAATGTGTTTGTTCTCCTCCCCTTTTTCTCTCCTCTCAGGTCCCTGTTGACAGTAACAGGTTTCTCCTGGGGGTTTATCTGCCCACAAGCATCAGAAGGTGGGCTTGAGCTTTAATGATGCAGAGCTGAATGCTGGAGTTTCTTAATAATGGGCAAAGTTCTTAAAAACCGAGACTCCAGTGTATATCCATAATGAGAAACTGACAGAACCGCTTTGAATATTTGTCTGATGCTAATTGTTCTGCCAAAACTGTTCTGCTAACTGTGCAAAATACTAATATTGCCAAAACATTACTTCTTCTTGCAAAAATGCACCAAACCTTCACACAGCATTAAAGATACAATTCGTTGCTTTATGCAAATGAAAAAATGTTCGTAATCATTTTGGTAAATATTTCATTTAGTGTAAATGCAGATCCATTTTAAACTGCAAACATATGCAAAGGCTGGTAAGGTTTATTTCAAACAGTTCACAGAACAAAAAGCTGCTGCAGTTTTCAAATGAATCCTTCTTTAGCCCGCATATGGAAGCTAAAAGGGAGGAGAGAGAAGAGGGTGAAACTTTTCTCCAATGGTTGTGACTAAACCACTGAATAACTGCTTTTCTGCTCTTTACAGCTTGTTTTGATATGTAGTGTGATTCACGTGCTACACTATGAGGGGAAAAGTGCCCCAACCCAAATAGCTAGGAACAGAAAATAGAAATACTATTTTTTTCCTCTGTATTTAAACCAGGGGATTTGTGGGGCACAGAAAGAAAAACTGAGGCATTGGTTCCCTTTGACCTAAACCTCACACTTTTCTCTCTAGCCATAAAGGCCTATAAGGGTTAGAAGAGATTTCAGGACAGGGAACCACAAGGTGCTTTGGGCTGGAGCAGGGTGTACCAATCAAGGTGTTGTTTTGTAAGTGAAAACACATGTCGACCCTTCTCCCAGCAGGTAGCACTTATCTATGGCCTTTGTAATTTGTTGATGTACAGCAGCTGAGTTGTCATGCCCATGCAGTATGGGAAGTGGATGGTAGCAGTGCTCCTGGGGATCTTTCCTGCTGTGACTTCAAGGTAAGGCCCTGCTCTGGCCAGGGATTTAGTTTTTCTCTTCTTGTCCAGAAAGATAAAGATGTGAGAGGATTCTTCATTCATTTTTGAGCAGATTCATTTAGGGGTTGCAGCTCTCTTGCTGCCTCTCTGGGTGTGAAACAGTTGTTTGGTGAGGGAGCTGACTAGAAGCTTCTCCCCCTAGGGCCAAACTTGATAGAAATAGAATAATAGAATTGTTTAGGTTTAAGAATGCTGAGTTCATTTGTTAACCTTGCATTGTCAAGTCCATCACTAAACTGCATCCCTAAGTTCCCCATTGACACTGAGGTGGTTTGCTTGTTTTCACCTTTGTTGTGGTATCATGGAAGTGCAGTTGGGTTTGGAAGCGCAAGAGAAAGAAAGGCTCTGTGGCTTGCTGGAATGCTCAGCATAGCTTTTATCTGGTGGTCAGCACAACGGCAAGATTAGGTTAGAAGCATCAGTATTCTCAGTGTGTTTGGTCGAAGGGAAGATGTGACCTTTCTGCTGAGGTTCTCACCTTTAGTGTCCTTCTCAACAGGAAGGATCAAGAAAAGATGCCAAAATACAGCTCAGATTTTCCCTTGAGCAGTAATGGCAGGGTGGAGGTACTGTAGGTTTTCGTTCCAGCTAAATTAGGTACCCCATGTCTTAGATCGCAAAGCTGCATATTTTTTTGCCCTTTGCGTAAATCAGTACTGTTGAGTGCAATTGGTGGAGTAATGATAATTCTCCAGGTGTATGTGGCTCTTGGTTTTTCCCTAAGATAATCTCTCTGATGCTGCCTTCAGGTGCTTCTTACAGAGTCTAAGGACTTTGCTGTTCTCTGGTAACTGCAAGGGCAGCCTGGGTTAGCTTGCTTTCAAAGAACAGAGCAATAATGGTCTGTATTTGTGAAGACTGCAGAGTTAACCCCAGTGGTTCATTAATGGGTTGTGAAATGAAAGAACTTTGGATTTCTGAAATTAAAGGATCTCTTGGTGTACCTGGATGATCACTCAAAATATAGGACACATTAAAAACCACTAGGAGCCAGAGAGAGTAGATTAGGAACAAAACCATCAGTGATTGTTTTAAAGGGTCCTATGCAAATACTGAATTCCTGATGACCAGTGTTTTCAGAAGTACCACAGCAACCCCAAATTACAGAAAAGCTTCTGTGAGTGTTTATCTCATGTATCATTTATGGATCTGTCTCGTACCTGAAGTGTGGGGGCAGAAGGGAGGGCAAGCTCTCTGGGGGTGTTCATGGGACAATGAAGTTGAACAGTTTTCACCCTTGTATGTGCCTTGCTCAGAATTCAGCAGTGTGCAGAACTGCGACCTGGGTCACAGAAATATCCATCAAAACCAGAAATAACACTCTCATGAACACCCACACTCCTGCAGGAACACCTCTTTGGCCATGTTACACAGTAAGGTGCTCTGAGCTACCAACATGCCCCAGTTCACCCCTGTTTTGTACCTGTTTGGCTTCTCTCTGGCACATTTGGTTGAGGCTCACCTTCAGCATAAATTATGATTAAGCCTGACAGCTTACACATAAACAACATCGCTCCATACCCTCATTTTCTTAACTGATCTCAGTAAGAGATTGGCTCTCTTTAAAATCAGTAATACTTTAACCCCAGCTAATTTTGCAATAGCAGAAACATATTACTTAGAATTTGCTTGATGTATTTAGTAATGCCTTGGAGCAGTTCTGGGTTTCCAGTGTGTCTCTGTGCAGACCCTTTCCCCTCCTGCCTGTGAACCTGTCCTATCTCTATCTTGTCCCTTTACGACTTTAAGCTGGCTCTGGTTTCAGTTCTGTGCTACCTTTCTGTGCCTTCCCAGAACATTCACAAGGCAGTGGGATACAAACATGGCAAAAATTGGCTAAACTGATTTGGATGAAGACCTCCCAGCCTGGTTTCTGTAACTTTCATGGAGCTGCTGTAACCTGTTATGGCTCATTATAAAAACCATTGCCCTAGTGTTCATCAGCGATGGCGCAATCTTTGCCATGAGGTATTGGATTTCTGCAGTGCCCATCTTGGCGAATGCCTAGGCATTATTTCTGCAGTCAGAAAAAAGCTGCTGAGAGCGTTAACCTTTCTGTTGCTCTCCCCCGTAGCTGAAATGTGAGGTAGCTGATACATCCAGTTGTTTCTCTGATCATACCAAATCAGACACGTGCTGTAATAACAAAAAATAAGTCATTTCTCACATGATAAATAGGGATATTTCATCCTAGAAAGGATGCCCAAGTGAAAACTTGCTGGTAAAATGACCCAGGGTTGCTACTTATCAAAGTCAAGCCCACTGGCAGGCTGCTTGTGAATTTCAGAGCTAATCTAAAAGCTGAGTAAAAGCTCAGCCTGTATCTGAGATTGTCAAAACCGATGTTAGCAGCAAAGCTGACAACTCGCTTGTCCTAGAAAATCACTTGTGAGGGTTTTGCGTTTTGTTGGTGTCCCTTCAATGGTTTAGAAAGAAAATATAGATGTACTGAAGAGAACAGGCCACATGGAGCCCTTGGAATAGGATGATTCTTTCTGAGGTTTATGGACTTCTGTGAGCATGGCGATGGAGGCAGTGAAAGGAGAGCACCTGGAAAATGAGTGATAATAATCCCAGTGCCTGGGACATGGGGTCCAATAAGCAAGGTTACTCCTACAAAGCAGGACAACAGTGTTGTGTTTCAGATAGAGAGGGAGGGAATAGGATGGAAAAAGAGTTCATGCAATAGAACAAAACAGTTTCACTTCATAAAGGCTTGCAGTTTGCTTGCTAACCTGTGAATGGATAACTTTCCTTTCTTTGATTAATCCTGGGTGTCTAAATGGCATGATCAATACATGGTTAATTCTCGATAAACTCATACAGTGAAAGTCCTATACGCCAGCTAGGACAAGAGCATCCAAGAACGACAAGGTAGCGGTGCCTGTGATAAGTACCAAGCATCAGCAGACTTCACCAGCTGTGTGAATTCACATAAACCCAGCTGGGCACAGACTCCAGAAAGACCCAACAGTGTCTTCTGCAAAACGACATGGGCAGTAGGAGCTACCAGAAACATGCTGAAGTACTCAGGAATGTTAGGGACATAAAAATCCACATCTTTTACTAAGAATAGATCAGAACTTATCTCTGCAGTGTCAGAAATATTGAGAAACCCACAACTGTAAGAAACTCCCTTGGGTTTGCTCTCCTTTATGAATTCTGACCTATGCCTTGGCTGCCCATACACTGTTTGGATTTTACATTGGTTTACCTCATAATTGGATGAAGCTCAGCAGTTTCAGCTGGGTTTCTGGGTTCAATCAAATCATCATACATATGAACTCAGAAACTTCTCATGAAACACCTACTGGGAATTCACACTGCAGCCCAAAACCCAATAGAAAAGTCTCAGGAGAAGTGCCATTTGAAGCGGCATCTCGTACAGCTGCCCAGAGGAATGTGTTCAATATCTTGTGGTACTTTTGACATGATCCAGCTATTGCATTTGCTGTTCCTGCATCTGCCTCTGGCTTTTGGCTCCAAACTGTTCTGTGAAGTTCTATAGCTTGCACTAAGCTTGATCCATCTTTCCTAACCAGTGCAATAATTTATTCTCCTGTGAAAAGGCTACATGAGTAGCCCTGTGTTCACATATGAAACTTCCCTTCCTTTGAACACTTGTTTCCCTGCCCTGATGTGTGCAAGAACACAGCAGGATGTTTACTCCCCAAAAGCCTCCGGCTTGTGCTTTCTGATAGCATCCTTCCTCTCTCAGGCAAACCTGCCTCAGTCCTCCTGTCTGTGACTCCTGCCTCACCCATTTATGGGAGCAGGTTATCTGAAGTCTCATAGTAAAAAGAAAAATGTGAAAATGTGGTGAATTGCCATAACCTTTGATTAAGTTTTGGAGGACCATCCCTGATTGGCTGTAGTTGGGCAGGAAGCGGTTGCTATTTAGATTTTACTGTTATTTGGATGTAGCTACAGAAGCCTTTAGTCATCTGGGGTTTTTTTTTTATTTTTCTTTTTTTAAAGTAAATTGAAAAATATCTCTGGGTCAAATATTGCTTTTGCATTTGGGCTCTGTATGGTGATAAAGCATTTCAGTTTCTGCATTGCTTGCTTGCAGCAAGCCCCTGGAGGCTCTCTTAGTAGAAAAGGCATTTTCTGTAGAGGAGCCATATGTGTAGAAAAGATAAGATTTGCAATTGCATATATATATATATATAAGTAAATACATTGTTTAAATAACCAGCTGGTCTAACTCCTGTTCTCAGTGAGTTTCCCTACGGCCAGGCTCAGCTCAGAGCATTTATGGAAGCATGGCACCAGTTACGGCATTGTTTGATGAACTGGTATTAAGCAATTAGTAGGAAATAGCCCAGGTGAGAGACAAGGAGCATAAGAAAATCCTTGGAAGCCTATTTAGTGCAGTGAGTTTTTGTTTTTTTCTGAGTTAACCTTTCCACCAGGAATAGACTGCAGGTGGTGCAAGTTCCTAGGGTAGTTTTAGATGAGCTGCTGAGTTTTACCTTAAAGTGCATTAAAAAGTTGCTGTTGCTCTGTCCTCCTCATTTTTTGTGCTTGAGGCCAGGCAGTTTAGGAGGTGAGCGATGGGTTCCCATCACTACCTGTACTCTGCCGTCTCATGTGAAGAGTGTGGAAGCGCTGTGTGCCACTTCTGTGGTGGGACATGGGGCTGGGGTGGCCACAGTGCCGTGGGAGTCTGCAACATGTCCCACTTGAGCACAGATGATGTCCCAGGGCTGTGGCCTTGGGAAGATCAATATGAGGTCTGCTTGTGTTCTGGATTTGGTATAACTGTGTCTGCCACAAAATGATTCTTCTGTGTCATTGTTCAGAGGGGTCAATAGATTTAGAGATTTTCTGCATAGCAACTTACTGACTTCTGAATCGCCTGAGCTCTGGAGCCAGAGACGGCTGAGCTGCCTGTGCACACACCACTTATCCCAGCGATTCACAATGCAAACACCCTGCTAGTACTTGGGACTGAGTGT